AGTGATAAACATATTTGGTTTCAATTGAGTCGGACACGGGTAGGGAAATATACTGATTATTATATCTGGCATGACTGTACCCATGAAGATGGCACAACCATCCCACCCAACAACTGGGTAAGTACCAGCTTGCCTGATTTACAAAGGGAAAAGGGGCAGACCTGCAGTAATTATTTATAACGCTCTTTTAAGGAAAAACATTAATGGATATAATTTATGGGAAGGGGGAAAATTTTCCCAAAGAAATAGAAACAAGGTATCCAGGCCTCCAAATATTGTTTAGATTTCTGATTTCATTGTCCAGCCGTTGGGTTCTAGAAAATTAAAACCTATTCTCTCTCATAGCCTCTTCTTCCGTCCTTCCCTCACTTCCCACTCTGTCCAACCTAGATTTCATGTCTCCTTAGTTCAGTAACTGTTTTGCTAGTAGCCAGACCCCTTTGCCTTTCTGACTTTTTGTCTCCTCTGTTTGACAAAACCCTAGCCATAAATGAACCAAATCTTCTACTTTCTCTTTGCCTGACCCTTGGTATCTGAGCCTCTGGAGAGATCACACGTTCATCATCCCCATGTGAACTGAGCCATCCAATCTTCTTGGGAATTTTGCTAAATCCAACTGATCAACATGCCCTTCCTCCTCCTCTTGAAACATCCTCCCTGCCTCAGCTCCGTCTTACCACTCTTGGTGGCAAACTCAACTTCACAGAGAGAACAGAAGCCATCCAGTCCGCCTGACCCCATTCTCCTCCTCCTCCTACTCACTTCTTTTACAACAGAAGCCAAGTTCCTCCTGTTTTGGGTGACCGGACTTAGCAAATAAAAATTCAGGGTGCCCAGTTAAATCTGAATTTTGGATAAACAATACATAATTTTTTAGTATAAAATATTGCATGGGCCATACTTACACTGAAACATTATGCGTTGTGTATCTGGAGTTCAGATTTGACCGGGCATCCTGTATTTTTGTCTGGCAACTCTACTCTTGTCCCAGCCCAGCTCCCCCACCTGCTCTGGCTGTGTCCTCTCCTGCTTTCTTCGGAGCCTTTTACTCTGGGTCATCTCTCCCCACTCCAGTCTCTCCTTCTCTCTTCTTGACATTTAAACACTCTTGCTACTGGGCATCAACTTTCAGGTGACCCAGGGACACAGAATCAACAGGTTTCCAGGCTGACTGTATGACCTTCTCCCCCAGCCTCCTGTCCCCCAGGTTCAGTGAATGGTGCCACCACGCAGCCTGAGAACAGGCCAGCAGCAGGCCCTGGCAGTTTTACCTCGTTAAATTTTCCTCCAGCCCACTCACTTGTTAAAATGATAATGATACTAGCAAACATTTACTAAATGCTTACTATGTGCCAGGCTCTGTGCTAAGTGTTTTATATTCATTAATTCCTTGAGTCCACTCTACCATCCCATGAGTTAGGTGTAATTCCTTTTGCAGATAGGCAGACTGAGGTCACACAGTTTGTAAATGAAAGGGCTAAGGATCGGGTCTAGATAGTCCAAATCCTTAGTCTGCTTTTAAAAATTGCTGCCTGTACCTCAAACTGTGTCATCTCTTGCCTCTAGGACAGTCACAGCAGCCCCTTTTGTCATCTAATTTTTCTATCCTTCTCTGCTGCAGTGAAGGTTGCATTTTATAATGTAATAGTTAATACGCACCAAAATATATGTAGTATGTGATTGGTGGATAAATACCTCATGGTATAACCACGTGATGAAATACTCCCCAGCAATGAAGCGGAAGGAACTATTCGTACATGCAACAGCACGGATGAATCTCAGAATAACTGTGCTGAGTGAGAGAAGGCAGACGAAAAAAAGGGTACACACTGCATGATCCCATTCACATGAAACTCTAGAAAATGCAGACTAAGCGTAGTGACCGGAAGCGATTAATGGTTGTTTAGGGACGGGAGGGAGGTAGAGAGGGGTGGGAGGAAGGGATTCCAAAAGGCCATGAGGATGGATGGATTCACTGTCTTGATTGTGGTAATTGTTTTAGGAGTGAAGCTATTAAATATGTCAAAACTGATCAACCTGCACACTTTAAATGTGTGCAGTTTATTGTATTCCGTTATACCTGAGTAAAACTGTTTAAAATATATGTGATGTATATCTAACCTGGAGAATATAATCATATAGTGGATATCAGTGATGCAACCCTCCTCCCCCCAGTTAAGAACTCGAACTTTACCAGCACTGTTCACGCCACCTGTGCGCTCCGCCCCGGTCCCTTTCCCACGCTTCCCCTTGGAGGCAACCACTACCTTGGAGTTTGGGTTTTTCCAAGTCCTTACCTTTTGTTTTGCCTATAAAAAATATACTATATATATTTTTTTAATTTATTTTTGGAGCCGGGCCCACTGGCAGACACCTGTAGTCCCAGCTACTTAGGAGGCTGAGGCAAGAGGGTCGCTTGAGCCCAGGAGTTGGAGGCTGCAGTGAGCTATGATTGCGCCCATGAGTAGCCACTGCACTCCAGCCTGGGCAACATAGCAAGACACAGATACAAAAAAATAAAATAAAAAATTTCACTTTTTCGTTGTCCCTATTTTGAACTGTATGAGAAATGTCATGCTACGTGTAGTCTTCTGTAACTAGCTTTTTCACTCGTCGTTTTAAAGATTTATTCATGTAGTTTCAGGTAGCTATGGTTCATACATTTTCATTGTTGTGTAATATTTCATTGTGTGAATATTCCATGATTGACTTATCCACTCTTCAGCTGACAGGCACTTGGGCTGTTTCCAGCTTTTTGCTGTCATTAACAGTGTCAATATAAATACTCTCATTACTCTATCTAGGTAAATAACTAGGAGTGGAATCACTGCGCAGATACTGCACGCTCAGCTCTACACGATAATGTCACATTCATTATCGAAGTGGTTGTACCAACTTACATCCCCTCCAGCAGTATAGAAAATACACATTCTCATTAATTCCTGGTATTGCCAGACTTTATAATTTTTGAGTGAATGTAAAATAGTATCACACTGAGGTTTAATTTATCTAATTATTGATGATGATTTATCTAATCACTAATGTAGTAATTAAATACTCATGCTGTCGAATATCTTTTCATACCTTTATTCACTTGAGCTTCCACTTCTATGAAATATCTCTTTATGGTTTCTTTCCCCAATTTTCTTTTGGATCGTTTGTCCCTTTGAAATTGCTTTTTGTAAAAATTCTTTTTGTACCCTGGATACTGGTTTTTTTTTGGTCATATACACTATAAATACCTTATCCTGGTTTGTGTCCTGGCAGGCCATGGGGTGAATTTGCAAGGGTACGTTTCCTTGAAAGGCAGCAGCTACTATGTGGTATCAGCCTGGTGTTGCCGTGGAAATGTGGACCCAGTGTGACCAAGTCTTCCAGCTCTAAAGAAAGAAATTTATGTACAATCCCCCAGTTTTAAAATGTTTTCCAGATGTTCTTCTTGGCATGAAATGGGCAAAAGGCCTAAGATAGGGCTCCAGGAAACACCCCCATTTAAGGACCCACAGAGTAGACTAAGAAGGAGTGGCCAGAATTATGGCAGTGCAACCAGGAGAGGCGTGTCACGGAGCATGGACAGGAACATGTCTAGAAAGAGGAAATCGAACATTGCTGGGTACCAACACTTGAAGTTGCTCAATTTTTATTCCTGAAGATCAGTAGAGTTTTAAAGTGAATTATTCTAATAATTTTCTGGGGATACATTTTAAATATTGTCTATCTGGACTCAAGCTCCAACACCAATGGAATGTATCTTTCTCCCAAATTGACCATTTGCTTTTCTTCACAAACAGGAGTCCAGAGCCTGGACAGATGACTCAAGGAAATATGTCAGTTCCTCAAGTTGGCCTTGTCTTGAATTTGGGAGCATTGGTTTGCCGCTGTGCTTGCTATGACCAGCTCCGACTGTACAAATGCATCGCAGCCATGCTTGTGAGGCTGCAGGCCAATGGGGGTGTCTTGGGGGGTTCACTTAGCCTAGTCCTCTCCCTGCAAGGAACACTCTCAGGATTTGTGCACTCGTCGCATGGGGCCAGGATGGCAATGATCGTTTCTTTGTGGCAGTACCATCAATGAATGATGTTAAGTAACTGATGTGCTATTTTCTTTGTTTGCTAGTTAAGTGTATATGGAAACTCCAGTTGGCACTTTGATGAAGTGCGAAACCAATGTTATTTTCACCAGTTTAAGAAAGAGCAACCCGATTTAAATTTCCGTAATCCTGATGTTCAAGAAGAAATAAAAGTGAGTATATCTATCCACACAGACATCTCCATTAATGCAGGCTTAGGTGATTATTTGAAACACTTTATATTGAACAATAATTGTGTGGTAGTGTAATTAAATTCCGGGATTAAGGTGTCTGATGCAAATATAGACACTCAGATGTGTCAGTGGCCCCTTCCTTCATCTAACCCAGAGTACTCTAAATGGAAGGGGTCAGAAACACCTGCTACCCTCTCTCCGAGTTGCCCCTCTGCCCCTGCCCTGCTGGCGCAGAGAGGTGGGTCAGAATGTGGGCTTTGGGGCATGTCTCTTGAGCCTGCAGTGGGCCTCGGGGTGAGTTATTTGGCTTTTCTGTGCTTGGATCCCTCATCTATGAAACACAGTTGATGGCAACATTTGTCTCATAGGGCTGTTCGGAAGATTAGATGAGATAACCCATGCACAACACTTCTGTAGTCATTCAGTAACTATTAACATATTGCCCGCTCTGTGCCAGGCCCTGTTCTAAGCACTGGGAATGCACCAGTGAATAAAAGAAGGCCTGTCCACAAGGAGTCTCCAAAATACAGAGGGGACAGCAGACAACCAAACCCTAGATATATAGGGTCAGGTGGTGCTGAATGCTCAGGGGAAGGGGCATCGGAGTGCCAGGTGGAAGTTGTTCTTCTATGTAAGGTGCTTAGGAGACACCCCCATGATAAGGTGCTATTTGGACAAAGAGCTGAAGTGTGGAGGGGAGCCATGTGACTACGTGGGGGAAGAGAATTTCAGGCAAAAGGAAGAGCAGATCTCGAGGTGAGAGTGTGGTTCACGTATTTCTGGAACGACATGGAGGCCCGCATGTAGAGCTGCCAGATGTAGCAAATAAAAATACAGGATATCCAGTTAAATTTTAAATTTCAGATGAGCAATGAATAAAGCAATATTTGGAACATTGCCCCAAAAGTGTTGCTTACCTGAACTTAAAATGTAACTGGGTGTCCTGAATTATATCTGGCAACCTCACCGGTGTGCTGGAGTGAAAGGAGTCAGGGAGCTGAAGTCCAAGAAGTGAGAGGTAGGGGCCGATCACATGGGCCTTGGATGCTGTTGTAAGGTCCCTCTGCAGACAGGAGATGTCCCATAGCAACCCAGGTGAGCTCTGGTGGGCTCACACACGTGTGGTGGTGGCAGTTCTAACAATACAATTCACAAAACATATTAGCTGTGTTGTTCTTTTTCTTGCTGCTGGTATGGTAATCGTGGGCAGGAATTTAGTGGACTTGGGGAGGGCTCTGAGGGAAGTAGCTGGAGAGGAGACTGAACAGAACAGGGAGCAGTGGATGCCTTCCTATAGTTCACCATGTCAGCCAAACAGAGAGGACGCAGGCTGCCACGTTGGAGTCACTAGGGGCACCTAGAACCCTCAGTTTATTTTTGTTTTGTTTTGAAATAACAGTTTTATTGAGACGTAATTCACATACCATAAAATTCACCCCTTTCACGTGTGTAATTCAGTGGTTTTGTTATATTCACAGAGTGTGCACCTGTCACCACTCATTTCAGAACATTTTCACCATCTCAAAAAGAAACACCCTGCCCACTGGCAGTCACCCCCCATGGAACTTCCTTTTCCTCCCCCGGCTCCGAGCAAACACTAATCTACTTCCTGTCTCTATGGTTTTGCTTATTCTAGACATTTCATATAAGTGGAATCATATTATGTCTATCCATTTATCTGTGATAGGTACCTGTATCTACGTTTAGCTATTTGAGAGACTGCCAAACCACTTTCCAAAGTAGCGGCACCATTCTACACTCCCACTAGCAATGTATAAGGGTTACAATTTCTCTACATTCTCACCAACACTTGTTCTGTCTGCATTTTTTATTATAGTCATCCCAATGCATAGGAAGTGGTTTCTCACTGCTTTGACTTGCATTTTCCAAATGGCTAATGATGTTGAGTATCTTTTCATGTGATTATAGTTCATGTGTATATCTGAATTGTAGAAATGTATATCCAAATCCTTTGCCCATTTTAAAATAGGGTTATCTTTTTATTATAGGGTTTATATTCTGGATACATGATTTGCAAAGAATTTTCTTCCACTCTGTGGATTGTCTTTTTACTTTCTTGATGGTACCCTTCGAAGTAGAAGAATTTTTAATTTTGATGATGTCCGATTTATCTACTTTTTCTTTTGTTGCTTGTCCTTTTAGTTTCATATTTAAGAACCATTGCCTAATCCAAGATCATGAAGATTGACTCCTATGTTTTCTTCTAAGAGTGTCATAGTTTTAGTTCTTATATTTTAGGTGATTTGTGATCCATTTTTTGTTAATTTCTATATATGGTATGAGAGTACGAAATTCAGCTTCATTCTTTTGCACATAGGATATCTGAGCAACGTGTTTAAAAACACTATTTTCCCCTATTGAATTGTCTTGCAACTCTTGTGGAAAACCAATTGGCTGTAAATGGATGGATTTATTTCTGGACTCTCAATTCTGTTCCATTCATCTGTATGTCTAGTCTTATGTCAGTACCACATACTGTCTGGATTACTATATCTTTGTGTTAAGTTTCAAAATCCAGAAGTGTGAGTCCTACAACTTTGTTCTTTTTCACTATTGTTTCTTTTTCAACACAAAGTCATTTGTGTTTCCATATGAATGTTTGAATCAGCTTGCCAATTTCTGCAAAATAGCCTGCTGGGATCTTCATAGGGATGGCATTGATTCTGTGGGTCAGTTTGGCAAGTATAGCCATCTTAGATTAAGTCTTCCAGTGTGTGAACATGGGATGTTTTTCCATTTATTTACGTGTTCTTTAATTTCTTTTGACAATGTTTTATAGTTTCCAAAGTACAAGTCTTGCACTTTTGTGAAATTTATTCCTTTGGACTCCTTAGTTTTAAGACTATTTTTACTGTATATGTTTGATGTTTCAGAATTTAGATGAATGGCATTGGGATATGTTCTAGAAGTAGGCACTATGAGTCAGGGTGGCCTTGTCTCGGTGAGGGTGGAGGACTTGTGGGGGTGTGGTGAGTAGTGTAGACACGGTCACCAGACTAACTCAGGTCTAGTTTTAAACTTCTCTGGTGGGGTGTGGACTCCTTTCCTCTGTCACCAAAGCTCATTTAAACACCCACACCTGCCCCTCCCCACACACTTATTAGGCACTTACTGTATGCTAAATGCTTTACCTGGATCACTGAATGCTTAGAACAAGCCTAACTTATGGGATTTTATGATCATTTTACAGAGAAGGAAATTGAGGCCTAGATAGGTAAAGTCACCCTCCTAAGGGGGTGATGAGCACTGGGACTCGAGTCCACGCTCTTAACCACAATCCCACACCTGCTTTGAGGCAAGCTATGTCTCTCTCTCTCTCTCTCTGTGCAAGGAGGTTTTCAGTTGTAAATTCATAAAGGTGAACATAAACCAGGCCGTTTATCAGGTAGTGGATTCTTCCAGGCTCCTTGTGGCAATGGTGACGGGTTGTCTGGAGATGGTGAGACAAGTGTGATAAATTTTGCCAAAATGTGCCAGCCCACACATTGTTTTTTACTAACCCAGCTGTACTCTTCCAGGTGTATCCACGTAGTGGAGCGTGGGAATAGGATCCTTATTTACTGGCCCTTTAGGATGAATCCCTCATGTGATGAATCATTACTGCCTCTGCTTGAGAAGTTACACATTATTTGCCAAGCTGGTTTAGAAGATTTACTATTAGAAGTAATTAAGAAATTCTGAGAAGCTGGGAGGGGACGCTCTTTGCTCCTGGGAAGGGATCTTTCACATGAAGGAGACTTGCGACACTCTCCTCCCCATCCCACCCCCAGCAGTGCTTATCTCTGCAATAGAGTCAAGCAGGTTAATAATTTGAAGCCCAGAGAGTTTGTGGGGAGGAGCATATGGAATGACTCCTGCTTGCAGAACAATTTGCACTCTGGGAACCTGAGCCTCTTCCTGCTTCCTCCCATCAGGTTTCAGTTTCCCCACACAGCGGGAGGCTGGCACGTGAGAACACCCAAGGTAGAGCGCCCTCCTCTCTCCTCTTTCTCCTCCCCTTCACATTGGCCACTGGGGACCTGCTCTCCCTGAACCTCTCAGGGCTTGAGTGCTTTCAGCTGGAGAAGTCAGGAAGCTTTCTCCAAGGAGTTGGGGGCTTGCATTTGTGTTGTATTTTATACTTTTCCAATCACTTTGGTTTTTACTTGCTCTCCAAATCCCTTATTTGAGGAAACTGAGGCACAGAGAGGTGAAATGAGCCAATGAGTTAGCAGCACAGCTAGGAAGAGATTCCAGGTGACTTGGCCCCATATTTGGGGCTCGGTGTGATCCAGGACCTGCCATGTGGGAATGCTGAGCCCTGGAGTAGGGCCTCCTGGGGAGTCACTGCGTTCACAGCAGCTGGGAATGAGAAGCCAAGATGCCCTTCCTTCCTTCCCCCCAACCCCCAGGCTTCAGGTGCAACCCAGAGCACAAGCGCAGGCTCTGTTCTGCTCCTACTGAGCATGGTGCTGCTGGAGACAACAGCTCAATTCAACATAAAATTCACTCCCTACCTGCTTTATAAACCAGATCTGTGTTCCATGATAATAATTGTGCTATTTACTGCACCTCTTACATGCCAAGCGCTTTATTATAATCATTCTCTTAACAGCATGTATGTGTGTTGACCACGTGCTAGGGGCGTGGTGATTGCTAAGATAGACACGTGGTATGGCTGGTCTGGGGCTTATATTCTGGAGGGGACGGTAGACTACAGATGGCTACGATGACATGCTGAGTGGTCATGACAGTGGGAAGTAGGAGCACGTAGGGCAGGTGCTTTGCCTGGACATGTTTGCAGAGGAGGCATGAGCCCAGCGAGGAGGCCTGTGTGGGAGTGTGGCAAGCAGAGGGATGGCGTGGATCATGGCACGTTAGAGGTGCTGGGAGTCGTCCAGTATGGCTGGGACGTGATATATGGAAAGGAAGAGTGACCCGATGACACTAGAGAGGTGAGCAGGGGCCAGGTTGTGAGC